GTTCTCCTCATCCAACCTTGTGCTTTGCGTTTTTGTTTTAAAATGCAAACCACATGTAATGTTGCATGCATGAATTGCTTTCCGCTGCCCAGAGCTTCAGATTTGTTCTTACTTTGTTCTTGAACTGTTAATAATCATGAAAATAAAGGGAAGGTCTGTTTGCATTGTTTATAGTAGGAAAGAGCAGTGCGAGATTTCATCTACTGCTGTTCAGATCCCTTGCTATTTTTGGTATTTGACCTCTGCGGAGAAGATTGCCAAATCTGCAGGTTGTTTTCATTTTTATTACGTGTTTCTACCCTCCTACTCACAAGTTACTCTTACGTACTGATTTAATCTTTGAGACAAAATCATGTTTCTCCCACATTTTCCACTGTGTTTTTCAGAGGGGTAATTTTGTTTCTATACATTGTTGAGCTAAGAGTCCCCTTTGGAAATGAGATGCTGCAGAATTGCATAGTTCTAGTGTGCAAAACTAAAAGGAGATGGAAAATAGTTTATGAATCACTGGGTTATTTTCGAAAAACTTTCTGGATTAAAGACGTGTGAGACCGTTGGCTTGAGTTGAGAAGGCGATGTTTAGAATAACGCGCAGAGAACGCAGCAGTATATGCTTAGACAGTATTAAGTGTTTAGTTTGTGCTGATAGGTGCTTACATAGGTCACTTCTCTGTCAGTGGGAAGGCCTGCTTTGGGCACCCCTGACTGTTTGCTTCTAGTTTGTCTGTATGTTTTCAGACACCGTTAGTGAGAAATAGGTAACCAAAGCATCCGCAAATTCTGTCCCTCCTGTTTGACATCCCTCTGCTTCATGCCTTCTGCCCTAAAAAGCAAGTTTATTTCTCTTTTAAAGGAGCTTCATAGCATGCCCTGGAGGTCGGAATGTTTTAGGTTATTTCAGAGTACTGTATTTACTTTGAGTTTGCAAGGTGTAATGAGTTTTGAGTGTCCTTCAAGAAGCTTATTGTTTCTGGTAGTCGTGATATCAGAGACGCATGCAAGGGTTGCTTATAATTATGAAGTTAATTCATAGAAAAGATTGCATGGATGTCGTTTCAGAGGACTAGATTCAGTAACACAGAAGGTTCAGGTTTAATTTATTAATTTATAAAAGGTGTTTTTTACATTGTTCAATGGGTGCAGATGCAGATGAGAGGCATATTTTTCCTAGCATGTTAACATCATCTGGATTTTTGTCTGTGTTGAGACTGTACTCATGGATTCAGACCCTGCAGTACCGTGAACTGAAATAAATGAAGAACCTGAATTAATGTATCAAAGCAGCCTAACTAGAGTTCTTCTGCTCAACTACCTCATGTCCTGAGCAAAGGAGATAGCAAAACTGGCCAAAACTTCTTCTTTCCCCAAGGTATCTGTGGGATTTCTTCTGAGTTTGGAGCAGTTCAAGAGCAAGTTGTGTTCCCTGCCTTTCCTTCCCCCCCCCCCCCCAAGTCTCTATCAGACGGTTTATCACAATGGCATAAACAGTTTTCCTCATTGATCGTTGCAACGGGTGGCTGTGCTACAGCCAAAATGCTTCAGGTTTCAAAGATACTGACTTTGCCAAAGGATTCCTGGGGACCTTTGCAAAATCGATAGCTGTGGGGTCTGAGTCAAGGAGTGCTAAACTGGAAAGTGCTTCGCTTCTGCAGTGCAGAGCACCCTGTGCTTTGTAAGTGGCAGCAATCCAATGCTTAGTTATCTTCTATTGTGTTTGGAAGACCATTGTTTCCTATTTGTCTCATAAATTTAACACAGATCCTATTCCTGCCATTTAAACTTTCCCATCAAATTACAACAGTGACTTCCCCTCCTGAAAAGGAAGGGCTGGCAGCTACACCCTGAAGTTTGAGCATGACTTGTTTATATAACCTTCAATCAGAGATTCATAATAGTTTGAAGGCTTTTTCACTAGGGCAAACATTTTACTGAGGTTTTAGCAAGACCTGGCTGCCATCAACGGCGGCATTAAGGTTTCTGAGTTATTGCAGTGGAACTAGAATTGAACAGTGTACCCTTCAGCTTCCTGGTGATATAAATTACACATCTAGCTGGAAAACATGAACAGCACTTTCTGGTATTTCAAATAGCTGTAACTACGTCATTTGGGGGTAAGAGCTTAGGAACTATCTTGGGCTAATGTTATTTTCCAGAAAATGTTATTAAATCTGAATGAAACATGTTTTTGCAGGCTCTGGCTCTTCGTAACTTCTACATATTTGTAGAGTTCCCTTCCTTTCTCCCACCCCCAAAGTAGTAAAAACTGTGACATAAAAGATGAGTGTTGCAGAAAGTGCTTATTGAATAAATTCTGTGTCAAAGTCAGTAATATTTAAATAGCTGCAGCTAGCTTTCCGAATGGACGACATTTGTCAGGAATGTGTCTGTTTAAGTTTACGTGGCCTTTTGCATATAAAAATGTTTGATTTTTTTTTTCTGAGTTTCAAATTCAGGTCAGTCTGGAAAACCCCCTTTTTCTTAGAGAAATTTACAGAGAGAACCCAATTTTTTGGTATTCGTAGCAGTGCGGGATACTTGATCTGTAAAGCTGCTTTCTCCGCATCCAAGTATATGTTTGGAAACACCGTTTTAATGGAAGTTTCTGTTGTAATTCTTTGGCAGACTTGATCAAGCAATAGCTGCCCTTTTCAATAATACATTATTTTATAGATTTTTTCCCTTCTTAAAATGATTCATTTGCATGGAAGTTTAATGCTTTTGTAATGTTTTTCTTTGAAATTGTTCCGTTGCTTGACTTTTTTATGGTTTTTGATGTACTGTAATTAGTCTGACACAAATACTTTGTTACACAGCTGCATGGTGATTTCTCTTTTTTCTTTTCTTAAATGAAAGTTCAACAAACCCAGGTAATTTTGGGCCTTGCTGTTGCGTGCAGCCTACTGAGCAGTGTTCAAGAGCGGTCCGCTTCGATATAATAGTTCTACTAAAAACTTGTTCCGTTTGAGGATGGTGTCCAGAAAAGCACATAAGGAGTAAGCTGTGCAGGTAGCGCTGCACGCAAGCTTATGCCAGAACGCATGTTGACTACTTCTCCTCAGAGGGGAAAGGAGTTTCCACAGGATGTCTGCATTTTATGGCGAGAATTACTTGTAGATGTGGTCAGAAAGGTTGCTTTGATGTAGGAGATTAACCTGGGGACCTCATTGTCAGGATATTACTGAGGCAAATAGCTTAGTGAGATTATTTGTGACTTGGGAATTAAGCTCTTATGGGTATGTCTGCTTAAGCTGTTTTAAAAAATTTGCTCGTTTGTCACATGGTGTGCTGAATATTTGTACGTACCAAACGGGAGCAAAACCCAGATGCTGCAAGCAAACAAGCAGAGCAGAATGCGGTTTTGCCATAGCAGTTTTTCCTTTGTTGCCGATCTCTCATGGAACTTCAATATATCCAGTCTAAAACAAGCAGCACGTGGTACCTTTCTCATTTCACCCCTGAAAGTCCTGCCTGAAGAATTTAAGAAAAGACTATGGTGGGACAGCTGGGAAGACGTTAGAACACTTTTTTCTTGAGTTGTGAATCTGCCTCAGTTTTCTTTGGTTTCTATTTTGATTTTCTCAGAAAAAGTCCTTTTATGCATGTGATTACTACTGTTGGGTACCAGCCTAGCTCTTAAGGAAATAAGTTGATTTTTGAGTACTGCTCATGAATTAGCTGAAATATCCATACAGATGAGAAGTCACTGAGAGTTGACCCCCAAGGACCCACTATGATTTCCTTTAGTATTAGAATTTTTTTCCACACAGAAAAGTGGTCCAGTCTAAGCTATAATTGTAAGAGAAATCATCCATGTGTTTGGCTGTGTTCATTTTCCGTACCGTGGTTACATCTCTGGTTCTTCTAGTTCTTTTTTTTCTTTTTTCTTTTTTTTTTTTAATGGTCAACGTCTGTGAACCGACTAAAATTACTCATTGATGATGACAGTAAATCATCTCATTTAAACTTAAATGCTTCAGTACTTTTTCTGACTTTAAATTGATGTAAATTGTTACTGTGGTTGTAGAACTGAGTTCTGCTCTGTGCTCTTTGTGCAAAGAGAATTTTTCTTTTTTTCAGGGGCACGCTATTTTGAAAAAGATTCTTTGCATGTGAGGGTTGAGGAAAGATTTGTTGTTCTCTTTTGCTTTGTAATACTTGTATTTCAGTGACATATAAAGGTTTAAAATACTAGGGGTTTCTGGGAGAATTCAGTAATGCCAGAGAAGAGTTGTCTCTGGAAGTAAGATTTGTATCGCTTTCACCAAGAGCCAGCTTTATGTAGATGTTTAGGAATCTGAAAAACAGGTCCTTAGGAGAACTGATGTTAGTAACGAAGATGCTTAATTCCAGGGATTCTATCCAGTAACGTAGCCTGTTTCGGTGCACGATGGTATGTCGACAAGCGTTTATGTGCGTCGTTGGGCACCTAAATACTTGAAAACTTATTTAATCTGGCCATTTTAGGATGTAGTTTTACA